CCATGTCACATGGAGCCTTAAGAGCAGAGTAGCACATGGAAACTGTTGATAGATGCCAGCTCCTGCATTCTTGAGTGCCTTTCTAGCCTGGTCTCAAAAGGCCAAAAATCCAGCGTGGTGTCTGGCAGCCTTCTCTGCAGCTCTGTTTAGGACAGAAGCACTGTTAAACTTTAGGGCTTAACTGCCACATGGGAGGGGTGGAACATCGCCTCTACCTGCATCTCATGAACTTTTGACAATGGCTCATTACCTCTCCATAATCCTTGTTTTACTCCCCAGATGTTTATATAGCATTTTAGCCATTCTATTCTATTTAAATCCTAAGTCCCAGTATTCTAGAAGAATAAAAGTGTTGATTTAAATGGCACCAGAGTAGCATCACATGCATGAACTCCTCAGAACAGTTAAGTGTTTGTGGCTGAACCATCCTGTGAGGCAGGCAGGATCCATCTGTGCCCTGTGGTCATTCATCGGTCACTGGAGGCTCAGGAGTTAATGGGAGGACTTCTTTCCTGCCTTAGGCTTTATATTTTTTTCCATTTATTAATTTAATTTACACTTACTCAGCATCTAGTAAGTGCTGGGTTCAATATGGGGCTCTGTTGAAAGCTACCCATTGCCTCAGAGATGCATACAGTCAGAGAGAGACACACGAGAAAGGACAGCCACACACACAGAAAGGCTGGAGTGGACCTAAAAGGTCTGTGGGAGTGCTGACAGGAACACCAACCCCTCTGGGTAAAGAAAGACCCACCCAAGAAATTACAAATAAAAATCGAGGATACAGTTATCTGTCTGAGCTGTGTGACACCAACATCTATTTTGAGGCTAAGCTGAGAAAAATCACTAGAACTTTCTTTCACATCTTTCTGCCTCTTTGTTTTCAAGAAAGACTCAGACACATGGCATAACACAGCAGGAGGCACACGTCTGAATCCAGCCATCTTGGCAGGTTTATTTCTGCACAGGCTAAATGAAGGTGGTGTGGTTCATTATATACTAAGTGCTAATGATATCCCTGAAGAAAGGTTAATTGCAGTCGGCACAGCTTGTCAGGGCTGGCTTGGCTTTTCTGAGGGAAAAATCTTGTACCTAAGTGGGGAAGGAGTGACCTACGAGTCAGCCCACCACAAGGAGAACCCTCATGTAGCCAAAGGTCTCTTGTTAAATTGCCTGCGTGTTACCTGAGGCAGGGCCATGACACACACAGCATTAATGGATTTATCTACACTCCAAGGAACACAGGTCCCTGAAGGCTCCTTTTGGACAGGAAGCATTGCTGGAGTTTGGAAAGGGTTTAATACCAGGAAGCTACTGGGCAGCCCTGCCAAGCGACCCAGGGATGGAGAGTAGTTCAATCTGGGTGGGTTACAGCTAGATGTTTCCTTGCCAGTCTACATTAGATCTCAGCGAAGCGTAATGGTGTGGAGTGCAGACACAAGTTATCTGCTTGTCTGTGTAAGTCCTGGATCTAACATCTACTGGCCATGAGATCTGTGCAGGTGATTTAACCACTCGTGCCTCAGCTTCCTCGTCTGTAACCTGGAGATGGTAACAATCTACCTCATGGAATTTTGGGGAGGAGTAAATGAGCTAATATTGGAAGGTGATTAGAAGTCTCAGCAGAAAAGTAACATTTTATAAGTATCTGCTGTTTTTGTTGCTGCTAGACAGTATGGTTCTCTCAGAATCCACTGGAATTTAAATGGAAGAGGCAAAGGCAAGTTTTTCCTAAGCCATGATCTTGTGCTAAGAATGATGTATTGTTTTATACTCTACAGAGCATCTTTCCATGTGTTATCTTGATCTTGTGATCCATAAAATAATAAAACATTAGGACTTCCCTTATAAGGCTTCCAGCAGGATTCAAGTATTCACGTAAAGTGTTCAGTGTTAGCTGTTGCTGTTTAATAGATGCTTACTCGGTATTTGTTGAGTGAATGAATAAATATTACTCTTGTGATTGTGCTGTGGAGTTTATCCCTAGATTTTCAAAGATTCTTTTTTGTTGACATTGAGGACGCAAAGGATTGAACCCTGAATCTCACAAGTGCTACATTTTACCACTGAGCAACACCCCAGCCTATTTCTGTTTTTCTTTTTTTTAAACCAGAAGCTGAAGCTGAGAGAAGCTCGGTAGTTTTCCTGAGGTCACCCAGCTAGTTAGGGAGAGTTGTGGTTATGAATCCTATCTGGGCTCTTAACTGTAGCTCCAAGATTCCAGAACTGATTCCTGTCCCCCGGGTTTTCTGAGTCATTAGCATGGGTGGGTTTGCACTTTGAACACCTCAGCTGTGACCCATTCTGAGAAGGAACTTACATGGACATCATAGCTAACACATTCATGTGACTTTTCTAAGTGTGGTTTTAGCTGCGCTGGGCTAGGCTAAGCTGAGATTTCTGATATCTTTCCATGGCTCTGACACAGTCAGAAGTTTGGAAGGAAATAATCATGCCTTCATGATTCCCAAAGGAATCATGGGCAGCCTTCCAAGGCCATCTCAAAAAACAAAAACAAAAGCAGACCCCAGATATCCTACTGATGATTAAAACTTTAAGTTTAAAATTTCATGTGACATATACTTTACCAGAATTAAAAATTAGGGCCAGGGATGGAGCTTAGTGGCACTGTGCCTGCCTAGCAAGTGCAAGGTCCTGAGTTCAATCCCCGGTACTAGAAAAAAAAGAGAGAAAACATTAAAGACAAAAAGATCAAGTTTAACTTTCAAAGAAGGGAAAATTATGATTAATTTACTTTTGAGTTTATTTATGCTTTAACCCAGAGTCTATTCATGGACCTCTCATCCCATCAGAAGTGAACAGGAGGCCATTGATTCTTCGAGGTGGACACCTGCCTCTCAGGCTAGCCTCAGACCCTGGCTCCTGACTCAGTCCCTCTCGTGCCTTAGGAAACTCTCTAGGGGCCAAGGCCCCTCAATGTGACTGCTCCATAAATATGCCCGGGAGCTCCAGCTCCATGAAGGATGTTTGCACCAGTCTCTTGCAAAAAAAGAATCCCCATGGCAACTGTCAGCCTTGAAATTGACAGGTAGGCCTGCAGATGCTAAAAAAATAAAAAATAAATTTAAAAAATGTATGCCTAAAATGTACCAATAAAAATTAATTTTAAAAAAAGCATTTTCGCCAGGGATTTAACTCAGTGGTTTCGCCACCTGCTGCGCAAGCGCAAGGACCCGAGTTCGAGCCCCAGTACCAAAATAAATACATAGTAAAAAAAGCACTTTCTAAAACATATCTGACAACTCACCTAAAGTACTTGGAGATGAAAGTAAGATGCTCTCATTGAATCTGTGTTCTTTGAAGTTACTGTAACAAGTTTAGAACTTACTGAAACAGCTGCAGTGAGTTTGAAATGAACTAAACCCAAACGAAGACTGGAATGGAGATAAATTACGCAGTCACGTCACTTGAAAGCTGGCGAATTTAGAGATACCCTTGTCCAACCCCTTCAGTTTCTCTGGGAAGCTACTGATCTGCAGGGAGGTGAAACTTACTCCAGGTCCCCAGGCCAGTGAGAGCTCACTGTCCCCATCAGAAGTATAATTGCCCGTGTGACTACAGTCTGTACGCACTCTAAACAAGACTCCTGGCAAAGACCACAGACAGATAAATGAACTTCCCAGCCCAAAGCCTAGGTACCATCTCCATAAGTTATGTAATGAATCTGGTTCCTTTAAGGTTTGGGGAAATGGTGGCAAAGCATTGACAAGAACAGCGTGAGGTTGCTTATCTTCCAAAGCCCAAGTATCTCTCTCAACTGCTTTATTCTTAGAAGTTGCCCCTCTCCCCGCTCCAAAAACACACAACTAACAAAAACATAGAAACAATATGCAGTTGCATTCTTGGAAACAGATATTCCCTACCTGTCCTTGTAGAAAAAGCCTCTTCACTGTCAGGAAAGGCCCAGAACTTTCTGAGTCCTCCTATTCTCTTGGCTCCTAAAGTTCTCCCAAGGAAATTACACTAATAGTTGGGCTCAGGGAAACAAAAACATAACTAAAGAAAAGTCCTTTGTAATTGAATTTGGGAACACAGGAAAACATGAAAGAATAAATTCATACATCAGTTCATTCTTTCGTTCAACAAAGGTACTACAAGAAAGACACTGGGGATTCTACTCAAAGGGGCTCCACCCCTCTAAGTGGAACAAGAAATGTTGGTGAGAAAGAGCCCTTGGAAGGATCCAGGGAAGGTCCATTTCAGCGATGGCTCTGCTCCCCATGCTGTGCCCTGATTATGCATTTTAGCTTTCTCAGCCTTGGTTTTCCCCACCTTTCATACACACAAGTGTTTATTATCTTTTCTATTACCACCCAAAGACAATGAAACACACTAAGTTAACATCTCTACTGCAGCTTCCTTAAGGATGAGATAGATAGATGGAATTTCAAAGATCCAAATAAAATCTTGATCATGCCCATAATAGCCTCCATTAAAAAACAAAGAGCTGCTATTTCTATTTAAAATAGTTGTCAAACCTGCCTGGGCATTAGTATCACCTGAGGAGTTTTTAAAAAGACATAGATGCCTCTTCCCTCTTCCTTCTACTCAAAGACTTCCTTTATGCCAGGCAGCTGGCCACACGCTTTACATACGTTTTCATATCGGATTCACACAACCAGTTACAGAAACAGCAGCTGACACCGATGGCCTGTCCCCTGTGATGAAAGTAATGGGCTGTGAACTGTCCCCACGGCAAGTGTCACTAGGAGAACACTGGTTGGAGGAACAGGAATGTGGCCCCTTCCTTTCTGATCTGCACTGGCCATAAACAGCATTCAGGGAACGACATGCTAAGCAGGACTCTGACTTCAATTAGTTTCTGAGGACTGTTTGTTTCCCATAGGTTATTCCAGAACATCATGGACACAACATGAATGCAAAGGCTTGTTGATTTTCAGACAAACTGCTCTGGATTCAGGTCCAGGAAGAAGAGGAGTAAAATCACTATGACAGCATTCAAGCACATACACAGAAGATTCTGATAAAATACACATTTATTAGAAATTTTTCAGCAGCATCATTTCCAGTTATTTTTCTAATCAAGGTATGTTTCCAAGTAATTAAAATCAGCACTCAAAATATGAGCAACAAATATTTTGAGAACTCAGGAATAAAATAATCAGTAGTACATTTCATTCATTCATCCATCCAGCCATTCATTCATTTTTGAAGAGACCTTTTATTTTTTTTTTTTTTGGTACTGGGGATCAAACTCAGGACCTTGTGCTTTCGAGGCAGGCAGCGGAACCGCTGAGCTAGATCCCCAGCCCTATTCATTCATTTTTTAACAAATATGCAATATTAGCACAGAGAACTAGGAATGCTACTGGCTATGGAAATGTGTATTCCTGCCATGGCTGCTGTGGTGGAGACTCTAGCATCTACTCTAGAGGGAGCTGAGTTGTACAGTACATTCTGATACCAATGTACGGATTTAGGCAAAGGACCCAAATAAGGCTCAGTAAAAATGGTTTCCCTTTCTAGTCATGTTCAACTTAGGAAATAAATAGGCATTATAATGATAATTTCACACACAGAAACAAAAACCCAGTTGAGGCTTCATTATACTGGTATTTGTTTTGCACCTTACTTTAAGAAGACACAGATTTGGTTTTAGTGATTCAGCTAACTGAGCTCCAGTCACTAGGGGAGGTGACCACCTGAGAAGTTGCTCCAAGGGCCATCAGGGGAAGGAGCTCATTCAACTAAATGTGGACTCAGTGTAGGACACCTACACCTAATGACATGGGTTTCCTCATCAACATTACAAACAAAAATGTCATCTTGGTAGCTAGTGAGAGAACACGTGAAACAGAATTTTCTGGGTAGATAACAGAAATATGCGGAAGGGTGAAACTGAATTGCTTTTTCCACCTTTTGTACTGTCTGAGGCATCCATAGTCAACCCAGACGTGTATACAACAGGGTCCTCTATCGATATCCATTAATCAGGTTGACACATAACACCGAACATTAATTAAGTGCTGAGGTGTAAAAATGGACCCAAGAGTGAGGCCTGGACTCCTTTCCTAGATGGTTTTAAAGGAAATACAAGTGGTTTCCCCTTCTTTAGACATGACTAAGGGCCCCCGCCAATTCTTCTCCCCACCGGATCATGTATTATAATGATCACCAACCAATTCAACAGATACTTTTATCAGCAAATTCAGTGATGTTATTATCTTTCCAAAATTTACAAATGTACAATATATTTATAGCATTACCTTCAGACAACTTCAGTGCAAAGATATACATATAGTACATCGTGATATTTGTAAAAATATGAAACAGCATAAGTAAAAAAGACACACAAGACACTTCCAACTATAAGCAACCAGAGAAAAAATATATATTTTTTTATGAAGTACTGAATGTTAACTTTTTTCATTTGTTTGTAAAAAATATACGTGCAAAAGTTATGTTTCTAATTATTCCCTAGGTGGCTGGCATGGCTATGCCTCAGAGTCTTCTTTAACAAGATTTGCAGTGTCTTTAAAAGTGTCTTCTGTTGCAGTGTACCCGGGAGATGGGCCTCTTTTCTGAGAAGTTTTAGCAGGAGGAGAAGGAGATGGAGGTGGGGCTGCAGCCACATATTCTTTTTGCTCGTTGTCCATCTGCAACCACAGAAACGGGAATTGGTCATTTATTCCCCCCAACATGACTGGAAGCAGTTTTGAGTGAAGACTGATCTTTGTCAGCTTGCTCAGAACAATCTGAGTGTCTGTATGTTCAATCAAACCAAGCAAATGATTTCCGAAAAGAATGTGCTAAAAAAAAGTGTTAAAAGTTACCTCTGCATAGATTGGATTCTCAAAGTTGGTGGTTTGTTTGGGTTTTCGTTTGAAGATACTCCATTTTGTGGCCTACATGAAATGAGAAAAGCAAAAACCTTTCAGTGATGGAGTTTTGTTTTTTGGTTGTGTGTGTGTGTGTGCACATGTGCACACATGAGAGATCATTTGGGTTTCTTTTCCTTTTGTCTAGGTCTTAAAATTTCTCCTCACTGAAAGACAAACCAATATGGGATACAGCTCATGTGGTAAATCATTCAGTTCTTCCTACCATCCCTGAAGGTATGGGAAACTCTCCAGGCTGTTTTCATCTAATAATTTCAAAACACTTCCTTGATTTGAAACACAGTTTAGGAATCTGGACCCATAACCCCTAGCTTTGCCATGCAGATCACTCTGACTACTTCAGCATAGAGAGAACAAATGAGAACAAAACACCCAAGAGGACTCTGGAGAAAATGAGGTCGCTGGGGCTGCACAGAACTGCAGGGAAAATTGTAATTCTCACTTCTTGATTCTCAGCCAGTTCAAGAGTATTCCCTCTTACTTCATCAATTCCTCCTGTAATCATCACAAAAGAATAATAAAAACAAAAATAACATTTATTGAGTGTTTATTATGTGTCAGGGATTATTCTAAGAGTTTAAAGGTTTCTGACTTAATCCGTTCAACAGCCCTTCGAGGCTGGTTCTCTTCTTGTCCGGCTGGTATGTTGGGTGCTGGTCACAGCAAAATTAAATAGCTCAATTATTGGGTAAGAGCAGGCAATGATTCTCCAGGAACTCAGAAGCCCATACCCTGAAGGACCAAAAAAAAAACACCACCCTAGAAAATGGTGGGTGGCCACCCCCTTACTGAACAAAGCCAGCAGGTGATAATAAGGAGAAAGCTACTCCGACAGGTAGCTGAGGTTGTTCACATGTTTTATGGGATGTGTCTTGCTCTGAGGAAGTCGAGACCGGCATGTGAAGTAGAGAACACATGAGGATGGAAGAAGTGAGAAAGGCCATTCATTTACTCCATACAAGGTGCCACCAAGGGGAAGGCGAAGACACGCAAGTCTGAGCCCTGCCTCTCGAGGCCGAGGCTTGAATTCTTGTAAGCCACTGCTTCAGTATAGAACGGCTCCTTGAAGTTAAGCAACTGGGAACTAAGAAGAGAAATTATCCAGTGGCCTTGACTTTTATCCTATTGAGAGATCCCGTTCATGTCAATACAACTTTCGGGAAATGAAAAAACTGAGTCATAAGAGTTCATGTTCTTAACTTTGAGTCCTTTCAGTGTATTTACTGGTGAAAGGTAAATTCACAAGATTCCTTTGCATATTAACATCAACCTCAGGTGATTTTAAACAAGTGCTTCCACTGTTTTTATTTATTATTTGCTTTTTTTTAGATGGGGTCTCACTCTGTAGTCCAGGCTGGCTTCAAACTCAAGATCCTCCTGCCTCAGTCCCTAAGTGTGGGATTATAGGTGTGCACCAAGATTGCCTTTGTTGCTTTTAAGCGAACTGGCTCCTATCCAGTGCCCAAGGGACCACGGACACAGGTCGATCTCTGGACACAGCATGGAGAGCAGACCTCAGAGAGTTTCACCTTCAGCTGGCTAGGAAAGTAAGAAGAAGAAGCAATATTACACAAAGATGGAGAAGAGAAAGAGAGGGACTACAGTTGGTGAAGGATGCTGTCCCTGAAACAGTCTGTGTTCAGTCTGCTTCTGAGGACTGGGCCAGGTCAGAGGTTCTAGCCTCCCCCACTGCACTCCCCTTCCTGCTTGGGCTGGGAACAGCTCTGTCCAGTCAAGAGGCCTGGCAGGCTTAAAATGAACTGAGAAAAAAATGTCTAGAACATAAAATAAATCTGGCACTGTCTTGGGGTTAAATCAGATCTAGGGACCAAATGTGTGACATTCAAGTACTCTGGTATCTGTGAAAACTTAATCTTCAACATCCATTTTTAAATGGAACTTAAGGAGAAAAAAATCAGTCCTTTGAAAAATATGAAACTGAACATGCCTTTCTGTGACAACGCGTGTGTATTTGTATCTACATGTGTGTGTGTTTAGAGAAAGGCATAAGTAATGAGATATAAAAATGTGGACAGAGACCTTTGATACAAGCTCTTCTCAGCAGTATCAACTTAGCTCATAAATTTTCATTTTTACACAAACAAGTCGAACTGGGACCAGTGTCTGAGGTGATTCATAGCTGGAAATCAAACAAGAATTCCAGTTCAACTTTGTGGATACCAGTTGTATTTACAGAATATGCAACTTCAGAAGTAGTGATTGAATAAAATGGCACTAACTTAGAATTTATTTCTTTATATTTATTTACTAAAGGTAGCACCTTAGAAGTGAGACATTCCAGATCTTATTATTCTCAGCTGAAGAGTATGTGATATTTCTGCAGTCACACTGAATTATGGGAGACACTAATGGGCCAGGAGTACTGAATTGCTCCACAATGTGCAAGACAGTTTTGTAGCCCTAAGAGCTATCCCATCCAATATGATGATGGTGCCCCTAGTACAGGACATTACTGAGGACTCTGGGACCCAGAGGTAAAATGACTTATCCAGAATCAAATAGATCTGAGACAGCTGCTTGTGTCCACTGAAACTAGCAATATATATCTGCAGTAACACAGAGTTTTACAGCACACGTACTTGCTGAATTTTTTTTTCTGCATTCCACAGTCTCTACATTGAAAGGTCCAGCAGGCTTGATAAAGAGACTCTATCATATGGCCTTTTTTCTTTTAATCTCCAGTATTCAATGCTCTGAGTGGCACACTGAGGGAAATACTGTTGGTTGTATGACTGGTCAGACAACCTCAAGGGTGATGAATGGTCTGATAGTGGATAGATAAAGCTGGTAGAAATTAGTACCACCTAGTGGTAAACATTGGCAATAGCAGTAGTGCTAAAACCATTTTACACAAGGAAGGATCATTTATATGTATCCTGACACAGTAAAATCTTTATTTATGCTAAGTAGCTATCTCAGATTAGATGCCCCTGTTGTGAAGATGCTTAATCCAAGAGTCTGTCCTTTGCAACATGATCTCTCACAGATTAACACCAACCCAGCAATTCCAAGGTGCACATCATTTCAGGACTCAGTCCCTATTACCTGTGTTCCATCAGCATCTGGGGAAGTTGGCTTTGGCTCTGGAACTAGCTCAGAAGGGTTTTGGGGGGTTCCATAATTCTTGTTTTCCACATTTTCAGATAGAGTCACCTGTGAACATATTGAAGACCCTTAACCAGTTTTGAAAGAATTCAATAATATTTAAATTTGCCACAAAGTTTCTTATCAACCTTTTGGTTTGGTTCACCATCTTGTTTCCCACAGACATGGTGAGGCACCATTTTTATTGTATGAGCAGACCCAGACCCCACAACTAAACACCACTCCCATCTCCCCCAAATCCAGAGCACCAAGCATGAAGTCATCTCTGTCTTAATCCTGAGAGCAAATACATTCCTCACTGGTCACATTCTCTCTTATTAACAGCAACTCTTAATATACCCTCTCTGGCTCCTTAGCCCACTATTGACCATATTTTTGGATAAAAAGACACTCTGATTGCATGTGACAGCCAAACCCCAGAAGAACAGCATGAATAATTCCCCAAACTCAATAGTGAACTGAGAATCCCATCTTCGAATATTAAGAATAAAATTATAACTGCTTCTCAGCCTTTTGGCTAAGATCAAGTGCGAAGAATAAAATTATAAATTTCAGAGGATTACTTAAGAGCTGAACTTTAAAACAATGTATAACGAAATTTGTAATCCTCTACACATTTTTATATAACACTCATACAATTCCCAGTTTCTCTCTGAAACCCAAATTTGCATGACTAGATAAATTACAGGGAAGATAATCTGCTCCTTTTCCTATGCATCTTTTACAGTCACTACTTTGTTTCCTCTCAAACATGCACAAATGTTCATATACCCAGCTTCACTCTGTTTCAAGGGCAAATGCCAGATGAAATGTCGTATCTGCTTCATCCTGTATTAAAGTTTTGCTCTCTAGTTAGCAAAGGATCAGGTAAAATGCTTCCAAGATTCAAATATTTCTGCTCTTAGGAAAGCTGTTCATGAAATAAACATTTCCAGCTTGTGTTAAAATATGCCACATGCTGAATCCAAAAGAAGCTGGCGAGGCATGAGGACTGAAAGTCATTCATTGTCGCTAACGACAAGGCCCCTGAGACAAAGGTTGTGCAGTGATGGGCCCTCCCACAGCTGCTGGGGCTCCTGGTGCAGGCCTGATGAATTCTCTCCCTGCACCTGAACACCCATCTCTGCTCTCAGCTTCACTGACAAATGAGGGAGCAGCAGAGCTGCACCAAAGGGAACTTCCATGGCTGCCTGGCAACCTTGGAGACCTTCCTGCTTTTCAGAGAAGTATGGCACAGGCAAGCATAAGGAGGTCCCTCTCCCTGTTGCCCACCTCAAATCACACCCTCAGGATACTGATCATTCACTCACTCACTTCCCAAATATTTAGAGGGGCACAGTGTTCACCAGGCCTCTAGCTCTGCACCTGCCGGAATGAGTGAGTGGGGACAACTCAGGGCCTCAGCGTGGCTGCCCCACCTCACGACTGCAAGCAACGCAGGCTTGTACGGGCTTGTGCCCGTGGGACTCTCCTGATGACACAGAGGAAGCCAAGGCCCCCGGGAGGGAAGTCCAGGAGGCTCCTCCCATGACACCCCCCAACACAATAGAATCCAGCAGGGCAGTAGCCAAAAGGAAGGACTGTGCGGTGTCTCACCTGGGCTGGCAGGACCTCTTTGACAGCTGTGTCTCTGGCCGAGTACATGGGGTTTTCAAATATCACAGGCTCCTTCCCCATCTCCATGGCAAAGTGCTCGCTCTGGTGGGGAGGGGAGGAGACAGGGGTTACATGGTACCGACCTGGTTCACACACACAGGAAGGGGCCTTCTGCATACTTGCAGCTGTGGGGGTTTTACCGATGTTACCCAAAATATGAGAATGCTTAGAGAAAGCAACAGAGCCTCAGGCCTCGGAAGGGCACATCACTGTCTAAATAACACAAATGCACTAAGACATCGGCACCAGAAAAAAGCCTCTTCCTCCATCTGAATCCTCTATGGCCCCTTAATGTAAATCACTCGCTTGGGGACTGGGTGTGGATAACAGAGAAGAGGTGGGCAGTGGAGGGAGAGAAAGGAGAGTAAGGAGAGCGGGAATGAAGAGAGAAATGGATAATGTTGAACTTTCAGGAAGGGCAAAAAGATTTGCAGGGAGACAAAATACCGAAGGTAGATTCCCAGTACTGATTACAGAGCACACCCTTCGGTCTGAGACTGTGCTAGTCCCCTCAAGGCATCTCATTTGGTCTTCACAGGAGATGATCTTGTACCCATTCTACAGATGGGAAAGTGAGGGTCAGCAAGAGCAAGCTCCATACCCACTGTTGCATACTTAGAAGGTGGCACAGTCATGGTTTGAATCAACTCTGGCTCCAAAATCACGGCTTATTCCCTCACTATACTTTGGTGGGAAAATATGATAGTTGGAAAAATACAATTCCTTACTCCTTTCATACATACAAAATGTCATCAAATAAAGAGAGACTATCGTGTTCTGTCCCTTCCCATTGCTTCCCCAAAATACCCATAAAACTTTACAGCCCCAATGCAGCACTGTGACTACAGAGGGGACAAAATGTCAATTTTATTATGAATGTTGCCCCTAGTTTTTAAACACATTTCTGCAGCAAACCTGACATTCCCTAACTTGGCCTGTATAGTGCAAACTTTATTCTGAAAGGCATATTATATTTCAATATTCTCTCAGATCATTGTGTTATTTATTTTTAATGTTTCTTTCATAAAATGGTAAAAAAGGCAACCTTCAAATCACCACTTGGAAACCACACTCACCATGGCCATTGATCTGTCAATCGCAGACTCGGGACCAAAATCAGACACGCCAATATCCATGTTAACATCTGTCCCGGATCGGAAGGTCACCCCATTTCCATTTTCAGAGGGTTTCACAAGACTGCTTAAACTGCAAGTAACGAAAAATAGGGTCAGATTTTCAAAAACCTTAGCAATAGTTGCCTTTACTCCACATTGCTCTTACTTAAATGAAACACACAATGCCCACTTCAAGTGTACACATATTGAACATGGTAAAAGTCCTCTTGTCTACCTGGAACATTAAAGCACTTCCCAAATGCTCAAGATGCAACTGTGAGGCAGCAGGGCACTCTCAGGAGCAAGCCATGATGACACATAGCCAAGTCTGCTCCAGGCTGACCGGAGGTCCCCCAGTGGGGACAATCCTTAGGGCTATAAACTCGATCTGTCACCCAAGCTTCGGAGAAGCACTCAACAACAAAGTTGTGACTTGAAGTCACTGTATTAAATAATCACTAGTTTCTACAGAATAGGTGACCTGAGTATTATACTTTAAAAAATTTATTTATTCACATGGTCACATTCACACAGGCTTCTAAAAATCAATATTCTGCATAATGAAACTGACCTTGGCAGCTTGGGCAGAGCGGGTAAAAGGGAACCAGTTTTCCTGTAGTGGAAAAATCCTACAGTTCCCAGAGCTCCAAGTATGATGATGAGGAGGACCGTCAACAGCACCGCCATTGCTGCTGTCAAAGAGGGGAGAGGCAGAGAGCTGATCGGCACTCAAAGGAAAAGAGCCATCGAACTTAAAAGCTGAAGTTGGGGGCTAGAACTATTCATCCTTCAAAGACCAGATTTAAAAACTACAGCATTCAATCAATGTAGGGGCCAAAGGTACTTGAGGTTGCTCTATCCTTGAAACTCACTTGTTCCTGGAGGGATGCCTTGGGAAAGCCCGATTTCACAGTAACCTCCAGTGTAGCCACTAGCACACCTGCAAGTGAAAGGAGAGTTGTTCACTGGCCCTGTTGCCTTCTTAGTCTCGACTGCAATTTAATAACATTCAGGGGTAGAGAAAATTTTAGTTAAGTGAATCACAGGTTACAGACAATGCATCTTACAGAATTCTGTTTAACCTGCCATGGGTAATGAGCAGAAAGAACAGTGGTCTGCTTTTATAAATCCACTTTCAGGGTAGTGGCTGCAACACCTACAGGGTCAGCCTCAAATAAACCTAGAGGGGTCACCTCAGCTCTATGGAATTCTTCCTTAGAGAGTAAGCATTGAAACAGCAGTTTGTTCTTTCTGTTGACATGCTTTCAGTAAATACTTTTAAAAACATTTATGTCTCTGGCTTCCTGTTGGAGCTTTCTCAACAGCCTTCTTCTTTCCAAATCCTTTGCATGAAAACAGCTCTGCTGACAGCTGTTCCCCCCACAACCTTCCTGCAATCCATCATCCCAAGTGAGCTGGAGAACACTGTTGACATTTCCCCAAGTTCTACCTCCCCAAAACGTGTCCCCCAACTTGTGGCACTGCCCAGGAGCTTGTTAGAAATGCAAGATCCCTGTGAATGAGAATGGGCATTTTAACCAGATCACCATCACCGGGTGACTCTTAACCACGTTACAGTTTGGAAGCACAGCCTAGTTCTCTGCGTTCTCTCCCAAGGGAGGGCAAGCTGGTTCAAATGTGAAGATTAGTGAATTTGTGAGGCTCCTGTGCTTGTTTCCCTGACTACTTTAAGGCCTCAAATTCCCCCCGAAGAGGCAAGGCCTGCAGCCCAGACTTACTTGCACTTGGGGAGGTCATTCTCATCAAAATAGCAACTTCCTCCGTACATGCACCTGCATGGGGGGGGCATGGTGATGGGGAGCTCGATGGCTGCAGAGAGGGAGAGCCATGCATGTTAGTTGGACACACTCAGCAGGGCCTTTGCCGTGCAGTCCCGCCAGGGCTGGGCAGGGGAGACATCAGCTAATGAGTCTCCCTGCCAAGCCGCCACCTGCCCTCAATAGAATAAATGTCCTCGTCAATAAGAGGATCTAATTAAGAGTAATGTACACTTCCTGGAAAGAGGCAGATTACAGCACCACCACCCCTGAAAAAAACAGTGGAGAGATGCCCCATAGTCTCATAGTGGTGAGAGCATCTCTTAAGAGAATTATGCTCTCATTTGAAGTTTTCCGAACTCTCCCCTGTGAACCATTAAGATCGAGTTTCATTTAGGCACACCTCAAAACTGCAGCAAGAGGCTCCAGAGTACCAGCAGTAGCTCAGTCAACAGACACAGATACAGACACGCAGATCCCAAGGGACAGGGGACAGCTCCTAGACTTCCCCTCCTCCATGGCACTGCCCTGGCTTGGCCCCCACACACGCCCTGGAAGTGCCTGATGGGTCATTAATGCTTCAATGTTTTATGCATAGAAGATGCTTAGTAAGTATTTATCATATTTTGTTCAAGGAACTTGGCTACTGCCCTGGCTCAGTTCTTTGATTTGAGACTCCACTCAAAATCCCCTTTGTCTGAGAGGCCTTCCTGAAGGTTCTACCTAAAAGAGCAACCCCACCCACACATCCACTTCTCTTACTCTGCATTACTTTTCTCCTTAGTACTTTCCCTACCTGGCCCAAACATGCACTTCTGGGTTTATTTATTGTCCTATTTGAAAAGAATCTCAATGACAGTAAAGGATTTGTCCATTTTGCTGACTTCTGTGATGTCCAGCACTTAGGATAGTGCCTACCACATAGTAGACACTCAACAAATACTTGCTGAATTATCTCATTAATTCATATACCAAACCAAAGTCCTATATGGAGCAGCTACAGCATTCGTGTACTTACTTTGGTTAAAATGAAAAGCTTAAAATTTAAATTTAAGCAAAAAACTTAAATGAGGAAAGTAGCAGGTGAGATGACAATTCACACAACACCTTTTACAACAGGAAACTGCAATAAATGTCAGAATGACCCATCAACAGCACAGAACAAACCTCGAAAGCTTCAATTATCATTTGATTTAAAATACTGCTCAAAATATTGGAATCCTTCATTCACCAGAAGTGTTGGAATGAGCATGGAGTAGGGAAAGAGAGGAGACAGAAAGCAGTTTTCTTCATTTATCCTCCAAAACTGCTAACTTCAGTCCACATGAGCTAACTTCTCAAATTGTTTAAAACCAGTTGCACCCCCTGGTGGTAGAAGGTGATTAAGCTCTGGGCCCAAAGATGTTAGTCATAAAATGGGCTGAGAATGACTGCAGGATGATTTTCTTTAAACATGCTCATTAAGCAGAGGATGCTAGTTAGAGACACTAGCTGTTCGCCGTGACCTATTAACTCCTTAATTTAGAAGAGTCCTTGAAAAAAGGTCTTGCCAAGAAGAGATGAAAATTAAGCCAATTTGTCTATTCTGGTTTTCATTTCCCAACAGCATAATGTATCTTTCAGAATATGGCCCCTTTTTCAGTTGCTAAAATCCCAAAAGGAGCATGTGAGAAAAACTGTGAGCATCCGCTAGCCCTCCCCTCTCTACCATACAAGCTCTTCCCAGGTCAAGAACTTGCTTAAGTTAAGGCTGAGTGAATTCTGGGATCCAGTGTGGGACGAAGGAAAGAAAAAGAGAAAACTCAAGTCTCTGCAAGTTCTTTGCAAAACAAAGTAACTGTAGATTTAGGGATAATGGATCTACATCTCTGTAGGTCATAGCAAATAATTCTCAGAAGTCATTGGAATTCCTGGTTGAGTCCTGTCTGGATCCTGGGTTGAATTCAGCTCTGTTCACGTGTCCCTCAATTCTCCTCTCTCCTTCTAGCTACTCCCTCTCTGTTCCGCAGAGGGCCCAGTACACAGGGATCCCTTAGGCTCCTGGAGGCCCCATGGTGACCCAGGCAGTGCCCCTACCTGCATCACACTCCGTAATGCTCCCCTTTATAAAGCTGGAGCCTTGGGGACAGGCACAGCTGTATCCTCCAGGTCTCAGGAGACAGAGGTGGCTGCAGATGTCTTTACAAGGGTTGGGCTCTGGAAAGCAGATGAAAGCACACAGTTAAGTCCTGATAGCAGATGAATACCCTGGCCAAAGGTCTGCCAGGTGACAGCCCGCCTGTTTCCTGGACCCTTATCCCCAGTACATTACCACCCTCGCCAAGCCACCAAGACAGCACAGTGCCTCCCTGAATTCCACACCACTTACATTTTCTACTGGCATTATATCTCTGTTGCCTGGCAGGTTGGGAAGGTGGGTGTCTCTCTGGTTCACTCCCTACCTCAAAATCTAATCAGTGCTGGGGCTAGGGATTTAGCTCAGTGGTGCCCCCACCTGCCTTTTTGCAAGCGCAAGGTCCCGAGTTTGATCCCCGGTACCAAAAAGTAAAAATCTACTCAGTGCTAAGCAACTTGAGATGGTTCAAAAGAGATCAGTGAGACCAAATATTATACCAAGATTTGACATTCCCCTAATCTAGATAGGTCAAAATATACATACAGTCTATCGACCTGGGGAATCTTATTAAAATTCAGGTCCTGATTCAGAAGGTCTGGGTAAGGCCTGAGCATCTACGTTTCTAATCAGCTCCTGCAGGAAACCAATCTTCTTGGTCTTCAGCCCATATGTTGAGTAGCAAGGGACTGAAGCAAGGATTCTCAAAACATGCCCTTAAAGCACCACCAGAGCATTTCTTGGGAACTTGTTATAAATGCAAGTTGTTGGGCCAGCTCAGGGGTAGTCAATCAGAACCCCACAGCTGGGGCCCAGTAAGCTCTCCAGATGGTTCTGATACATGCTAAATTGTGAGAACTGTTGGTCTAGACTAAATGTGGGGCACCTTAGGCCTCCATCTCAATCCAAAGGGGGCTCAGAACATTAGCTGACTGAGCAACCTCAGACTTTCCTCTGCCTCCTCCATGGGGTTCGCAGATGTCTGGGTTAATACTAAGGAGAGAATCTACAGAACTGAGTAAAAACTTTTTTCTTTTCTCACTTCAAGAGTCCTTCCCCTTTCATCTTGCCCCTCAAACAATGCCGAAACGTGAATTAGAACACAGATAATCTGTAGCAGGACACAGAAACAAGAAAATGAGGAAATGGGGAGTGGACAGAAATGCCTATGTCTGACAATTTTACACCAAGGCTCACGAACCTCAGGACAATCTGAGTAGCCCGGTCTTGTCATTTTTACAGTGAATAAGACTTCTGACCTCCGTGAAATCCATCTTGTGACTTGTTAACCCAACTCACACTTAGCAGGGGTCTGATGCCTGCTGTATTCTGCACCCTAGAAGTACACATCTGTAACTCCAAACAAGGTAGACTGAAACATTTGAAGTTATTTTTACTGTTGGTGGTTTGTACAATTTCATTTGACTTCCAATTTTACTTTCCTTTGGTCAAAATGATTAAGCCATCCATCCACACAAGCAGACATATGCACACCCCTTTCAGGTAGCAACAGAAAGCCTGTTATCCACTACCCTTTTCCAACACTATAGCAATTATTTTGATATAAAAGTTTCCAGATAACAAACATCTTATTCCAAAGGTGATGATTACCTGACAGATTGTATCTGTGTTGATGAAAGATTCGAACTTGAGTGAGCCATGGGTTCACTACCAGCATTTTCTCTTTCACTCCTTGCCCAAATTTATTTTGTTTCCACACTTCTCCCTTCTCCTTAGATACCCAATACAACTGGTCTTCAAAGATGTCCAGGCTATAAGGCTTCATGGCTGTTGACCCCCAGTGGAAAAACAAAACCAAACCATGTTACTGAAAAGACCCCAGGACCACTTCAACACCTGATGTTATTCTGCTTGAATGAATCCCTAATTCAGTGCTTTGAGCTGCCAGGAATATCAAGGCCAATTTTCTGTATGTGTGATTGTGAAAGTACTACACCAGGAGATCACAGCAACAGAAATTAAATGAGATCAATACACACTGTCTACCACCAATTTACGGGGTATTGGCTAACTTTCAAGTTGCTGATTTTATTTTATTTTCAGAAAAACTCTTTCCTTTGAATATAAAATACCACTGGTCAGGAAGGAAAAACGTGATATGGACTGGATCACAGCAATTTCACAGTCTGGATAACAAAGTACTCATTTCCATCTACATGGTTCCAGTTGTTCATAGTGGGCAATCTAACACATTGAAAATGGGTGTGTCTAGAAGGACTGCCACATCAATGCCACCTCAGGGCACCCTAACAAAACTCAGTTATTTCAATATCTGCTCCTGAGAAGCACTTCTTAAAATTATATAAAAGGGACAATAAAGATTTAATTATTGCTAATGGATTCATTTGCATGTAATTCCACACAATTCCATAGCTGGGAGTGAAGGGGCAGGTATCTAAGAAAACTATATAAACCATTTCCTAAGATCAAGATCCTTTCTTGAGAACATGGGTAAAGAGAGAAATGTACTAATTCATTATTTAGTATATTAAATGCTAAATCATCTCTAACCTTCCTTTACAATGACTCTCCTATCAGTCCCATCGTATCTTATGGTTTCAATAACATCCTCCTTGGAATCACTCCAGTAGATCCGGTCATTGTTCAAATAATCAATAGAGAGGCCATTTGGCCAGCCCAGGTCCTCGGAAACCAGGATGCTGCGATGCTCGCCATTCATCCAGGCAGACTCGATTTTAGGTTCTTTCCCCTGGTCGGTCCAGAACACAAGCCTAGAACAGAAGTTTCTTTTGTTGCAGCATCTCCCCCAGTGGAAGTTCCCTGTGACCCCAAGCATGACCAACAGTGTGATCAATCGGCACTTTTTCCTGGGAGGCCTGGGTGCTAAGTGTCGCTGTGTGTATACTTTACACACAGTGACAAGGAGCACCTCTGTGCCCCTACGATGCTACACATGTGAGGTGCGAGAAGCAAAGCCTGATGCTGAGGACAAGTCAAAATTACAGGCTAATCTCATCCGGCAAGTATCTTTCCAGTGTGGATGCTGTGTTTCTGACGGTATGATTTAAAATATTGAATACAACAGAATGAAAATAATAATAGCTCATATGTTTTATATACTAATGTTGGCATACCTACAAATGACCGTACAGGTTCTATTCAAAAAGGGGAAGTATTTGGGACTACTCAAAAAAATTTTTAAATAGTCTTACTATCCACTACTGGCTAAATGAAATATCCAAAATAATGTTTTGAAATGCAGAGGAAAATAACAAAACTAGTCCTCATACTGAGGAGGTTTATAGATAACTACAAACTGGAACATTTCTACAAATTGATAATACATATTTACATATCTTTTATGTATTTGCATATTTTGAAAAGAAACGTTTCATTATGTCCAATGAAATATGACCAAATCCCTAGCTGAATTTCAATGAATGACTTACTTTTTGTTCTGTTTTGTTTTTTGAGTTAGGCTCTTACTGTGTAGCCCAGGCTGGCCATGAACTCACTACGGAGAGCAGGCTGGTCACAAACTCACAATGTTTCTGCTTCAGCCTCCCAATGCTGGGATTACAGACATGTGCCACCATGCCTGGCGACAAGTTACTTTTTAAAACACCAAAATAAAAGTAAAACCAATTCTCATGTCCTTCACTCAAAGCAGTTAAATCCACAGAGAATTTTAAAGTCTAGACAAAGAATTCATGTAACCAGAAAGGGTTTCAAATATCTTCTGAAAGACATTTCTCCAACAGAAATTGTTAGACCTATGATCCCAGGGAAAATTATAATTCTTTTAAAAAGTTATGGATTCCACTCCAAAAAAAAAAAAAATCAAAGGACAGTATCAGTACAATTAGGAAAGAATCACTGAAGATATGTAATTGTATGAGAATCCAGGGGGGAATATCTAGAACATTAAAGATCCCTTCAAGCACTTACCCTAGTTTGGGATTCACAACAATGGCGGCAGGCTGATCCATCTGAGTGGTGATCAGCCACTTTCTGTACCTTCCATCCAGTCTGGCCACCTCAATTCGTTGGTTCTTGGCATCTGACCAGTAGATATGCCTGAATTCAGAGAGACAAAGTTAAGCAATAGAAAAGTCCAGACTCGTTACTTCTGGGAAAGAAGTGTGAAGATGAGAAACTGGTTCTGGCCAAGACACACCTGTAATCAAGAGCACCGAGCCCCGAGCCCCGTGTCAGGAATGCCTAATCTCCATGGGACATCTTTGGAAGGTTATGCGTGGAAGAGTGAGGAATGTGGGGGCCTCCTGCCTGATCAGCCAACGCAGCTGAATCAGCCAACGCAGCTGAATCAGCCATGTTTGGTAGTGGTGGTGGATGCAGCTGTCAGACTGATCTCACATCTGGCATTTTCATGAGACAAGTGCTTCCAGGTAGAAGTCATGGGCATTGCTGGGCTGGTCCTTTAATTTCTACTGCCCATGAGTCTATCTCCTCCTCATCAAAAAGCACCACTGAAATCAATAGGGTACTGGCATGAGCTCCAATGATGAGTGGAATATAATTTCAAAATAACAAACTCAGCAAGGCCACCCTACCCTTATTTCCACTTCTAAAGCTGCAGGTATCAATTGTAAATAGCAAGAGCTCTCGCGGGTTCTTAATTTCCTCATTCATTAAGGTTGAGAAAGAGATAAAGCTTCAAACAAGAAGAGAGATCTGGCATTGCACGACTGGTTTTCAGAAGGAAGTCTTAACATCTAGAGTTTCAAGTTTTGGACTACAGGAACAGTTCTCTGAGGCCTTTCTCCTGACAGAAAGTGTGGAGACAGGTCCCCAGTCAGCCTGCAGGCACAGAGAAGACCTCATTAACGTCTTCAGAGAAGCTCAAGTCTTCAAGAACACCAGAGGAGTTTGCTAAAAGAAATGTTTGCTAAACATTTAGTTTGCTAAATAAAAATGAATTTACATCACAAATGACGCTGGGAGGGCAGGGGCCACTGAGGCTTCCCTCTCAGGCACTTTACCATTTAAGTTCATTTTTAAGGCCACATGAGGTTGATTCTATGATTCCTTGAGCTCCTCTTCATGTAACCTCCTGTGAAGGGACATGCCAATGCAAGCCTCCTCCTGGAAGAAGGAGCTTAACAATCTTTCCACATCCATCTGAATCAATGCATCTACTTGAGGATGACTTGCTTATGACCCTGACCAAGGATCATATGGCTCAGGTACAAAGGTCAGAAAGTACCAGAAGGTCCAAAGAAAAGAGCTGATTCCTCTATTAATTTAAACCCAAAGAAAAGTCAGATTTCTAATTGTTTCTCACCAAAATCATTATAATATAGAAAAATGTTTAATCTCAACTGCTTTGCTTGGAAAATTGTGGAGTTGTCTCATTTCTTCACAAAATGAACTGTGTTCCATCATATCAAAAGTTAAATCCTTTTTTTTTTTTTTGAAAGTCACAACTCCATGAGGCCCAACAGAGCAAATCCAAAATATTTCATCAGGCAAGGCAAGAAATTAAAGGGTGAGGGGGAAAAATAAAAAAGAGTCAACAACAGGAAAATAACATGACAGTAAGAAGTCCATACATATCAGTTATAACCATCAATGTTAATGGCCTCAATTCACCAATCAAAAGAAATAGACTGGCAGATGGATTAAGAAGCAAAACCCAACAATATGCTGCATATAAGAAATGCACCTAGTTCAAAAAGAAACTCACAGACTGAAAGTAAAAGGATGGAAAACAGTTCTCCATGTGACAGGAACCCGGAAAAAAGCAGGGGTAGCTATCTTATTTGCAGACAAAGTAAATTTCAAACCAAAACTAATTAAGAGAGACAAAGAAGGACACTACATCCTTTTAAAGGGAACAATCCAAGAGGAAGAGATGACATTCATAAATATATATGCACCAAATACTAACACCACAACTATACAAAACAAATATTAAGGGACCAGCTGGCGGACGGCAAGGACCTTGGCCGTGTGGAGCCCCACTCCGACCCTGCACCCCATCCCCCAGTGACCAGCTTAGCCCGCCCCCCACCCCTGCCTCTGGCCTCCTGGCTGTGCCGCTACCTGGTTCCACACTACAGAGGCACAGGGGGTCATAAAGGCCATTGTCCTGAGCTCCAGAAGATAGAGCAGAAGTGAGCAACAGAAAGAGGGCCTCTCTCAGGCTCCTTGATGAAAAATGAAGCCCACTGGAAAAGTGAAGAGAATCTCTGCAATAAAGCCACATCAGACCACTGTACTTAGTAAGTTAGAGGGATCATCACCTCCCATCGGAACCTGAACTATCTTCAGGGGAAAGGCAGCTGGAACCTGCAGTAGAACCTTTCAGAGTTCAACCCTGCAGGAGGATAGGGAGCTCAACTTGGGACTTGCAGCCAGAAATCTGCCTGAATCTCAGGGGTCTGTTACTAGCTTGCTGAGACTCATTGACTTAGATCTGCACACTGCTG